GGCCAGCGTGCGGCGACATTCCGGACGGACTCCGGACGGAATTCCGTCGCAGTGGACGGCGGCCTTAAGGCAAATAGCTACGTTATACCGGCTCATGCGACGTCCGGTGGGAGGAAAGCTAGGGAGAGCCAGAAAGAAGGCCAGAGTGGCAAGGCCGAGATTTAAATGAATTTTAGTACTTACTTCTGATGTCTTGCAGCTGTATCTTCGTGTGTTGTTGTGTGTTGTTGTTTCGTGGAGTGTTTGTTGTGTATGATTTCTACCAGGAAAAGTCCTAACTAGAAAAAACCTGGTGCCTAGCCAAGAGGGCAAAACCTGTGCGTTTTTGCCAAATTGCACAGGAAAAATCCCTTTAGAAGTAATTACTTTACGTTATATCACTAGAGTGTCACTGTTTTGTGGGTCTGTGAATGACTGAAAGGTAGCGGGTAGTACGGTGATGCATCAGCCTCAATTGAAGCCAATGCCGCATCGGTGGGCCAGGAGGTCAAAATCGGTAGGGTTCCCCCGACGCCGCCGCCAGCACGCCCGCCGGCGCCGACCGCCGCCGGACCCAGCCCCCGCCCCGCCCCTACCCCATCAGCTAACGCGGAAGGGCCAGGCGCGAGCCGGGCCCCAAGCAGCGACCGGCGCCGCCAAGCGCGCCGACAGCAACGCGAGCACGGCACATGGAAAGACAGATACCTATATGACGACAAAAAATCTTACAATTATGGAGTCGGCGTAAATCAACGTACAGGGCAAAACAAGCATACGAAAGTAGCCATTAGAGGTCAAAAGCTCAGCGGTGCTAGCTTCCAGGGACTCCACCACCGGGTTGGGTGCCCCCAATAATTTCGCATCCGCAATGCCATCCAATGCATACAGCGATACAATCTTGGTTCGGACCATCCCATCCTGAGAGTGTCCCCTGCTAGCGCTGAATGGTGTATCCCCAGTCTACGTTGCATCTTATCCTCGCTGCCCTGTGCTTTCTACGCGGATGCATCACCCGATGCCAATTGAGCCGCTGTGGTACACCGGCTGTGTTGTCGGCCGCGGTGTCTCATAATGGAGCCGTCCTCCTTTGGCGGTCGGCGGTGGCTCTGCGACAAAGGGGCGCCGCGCCGGAGGCCGGTCGCTCGCGCCCGCCGCCGACGCACCTGTCAGTCGTGTCGCACCGCTCACCGCCCGGTTCCCATGTCAATCGACCTGCGGCGCCGACCGTGTGAGAGTGCCGACCGGCAGCGGCCGTCCGTCTGTCCGCGGCCCTAGTAACGTCTGCCCGTCTGTCCACGGACATAGCAGCGTCTGCCCGTCTGTCCACGGACATAGCAACGTCTGCCCGTCTATCCACGAACATAGCGACGTCTACCCGTCTGTCTACGGACATAGCAACGTCTGCCCGTCTGTCCACAGACATAGCAACGTCTGCCCGTCTATCCACGGACATACTACATAGTACTTAACCCGCGCACCGACGGGGGTCTGCGCCAACTTCGCACCGACGCGACGGGGGGGGGGGCGGATGACCGCCCCCCCCCCTGAGATCTCGAGAACGAAGCAAGATAGCGACAAGCGGTAAACGGCATCGGATACGCACGGACAAGGTCTACAATTTTTACAAAGGTCATTTTCAGGTCAGGTCAAAGATGACGTCACAGAGGTCGAAAAAGTCAAAATGGCGGCGCTAGATATGGAGAGTTTTTCTCGAATAACTTTTGAACTAGTCAAGATAGGAACAAACTAAGGGCATCATCGTGATCCTCTCGTCAATCCGCATCGAATGCTATATATGTTGACCTCGAAAGGTCAAGGTCAAAGGTTGACCTCAGGTCACGTGACCTCGAGGTCATCATGTATATCATTCGATGCGTCTTGACGAGCTGAACACAATGAGACCATCCGCGCAGCTGTATCTTGTTCCTGTACGGAGTTATTGGTAAAAAACCTTTGGTGACCTTTGATGACGTCACATGACCTTACAGCTGCCCAACAGCAAAACAGACCTCAAGGTAGTGAAGGTTGATCGTATATGAAGTCATGTATGGTATATGGGGCCATTCCGACCCGTTTTAGTGGTAAAAACAGGGAGTTGATTTTTCCCCCATTGACTCATAGGTAATGGGGAGGTCGCGAAATTGACCTGACCTTAGGTCACCGACATCAAAATTCTGAGATATACAAATTGTAGCTACTAATGACCTAATAACATCCTGCGACTTTCAAAGGCCTCCGACATCTACTGTAGCTCTGGCACGGTGACAAAGTTGCAAAAAAGTGACTTGAGGTTGGGTCATTCAAAGTGACCTGGTGACCTGACCTTAACCCTATTCCTGGCGGGGGGGGCCTCAGGAGCCCCCCCCCCCTGAGGTTTTTTGGTTATTTCTCCCAAACGCGTTGAGCTAGGAAGCTCAAATTTTCTGACTTTTCCTAAAAGGCTTCTACGCAACATGTCTGAAAATTTTGAGTTGCTCTGACCTCAGGTCAGGTCACCAGAGGCGGTTTGGTGACCCTACCTCAAAAAAGTTTGCAATCACGCCAGAGCTAGAGTTTTTGACCGATCAATTTCTTCTCTTCAGGCTTTAGTTAGGGTACCAGTATGTGCAAGTTGTATATCTCGGAATTTTGATATCGGTGACCTAAGGTCAGGTCAGTTTCGCGACCTCCCCATTATAAGTCAATGGGGGAAAAATCAACTCCCTGTTTTTACCACTAAAACGGGTCGGAATGGCCCCATATACCATACATGACTTCATATACGATCAACCTTCACTACCTTGAGGTCTGTTTTGCTGTTGGGCAGCTGTGAGGTCATGTGACGTCATCAAAGGTCACCAAAGGTTTTTGGCCAATAACTCCGTACAGGAACAAGATACAGACGCGTGGATGGTCTCATTGTGTTCAGCTCGTCAAGACGCATCGAATGATATACATGATGACCTCGAGGTCACGTGACCTGAGGTCAACCTTTGACCTTGACCTTTCAAGGTCAACATATATATCATTCGATGCGGATTGACGAGAGGATCACGATGATGCCCTTAGTTTGTTCCTATCTTGACTAATTCGAAAGTTATTCGAGAAAAACTCTCTTCATATCTAGCGCCGCCATTTTGACTTTTTCGACCCCTGTGACGTCATCTTTGACCTGACCTGAAAATGACCTTTGTAAAAATTGTAGACCTTGTCCATGCGTATCCGATGCCGTTTACCGCTTGTCGCTATCTTGCTTTGTTCTCGAGATCTCAGGGGGGGGGACGAATCGGCCCCCCCCCCCGCCAGTTTCTTGTCCCGGCGGAGCCCGCCAGGAATAGGGTTAAAAGTTAGGAGGTTCAAACTTGCACACCATGTGTAAAATTGATGAGACAATAGTCTTACCAAATTTCGCGGCGCTACGCGCCGCGGTTTTCCCGCTAGCCGCGAAAAACCTCAGGGGGGGGGGTGGATATCCGCCCCCCCCGTCGGTGCGCGGGTTAACGTATGTCCGTCTATTCACGGACGTGGTAATGTCTGGCCAGTGTCCACAGCCCTAATGACGTCTCTCCGTCTGTCTGTACACGGCCCTTATCACGTCTGTCCGTCTGTCCATAGCCCAAGTAGCCCCTGCTCATTTGGCCACGGCCCCAGTAACGTTTGTACAATGTACATGGCCCTAGTAAGTTCTGCTTGTCTGTTGACGTTCCTAAAAACGTCCGCCCGTCTGCACACGGCCCTATACTAACGTCTATCCACGGTCCCAGTGATGTAGATATGTTCACGGCCCTAGTAACGTTTGTCCACGGCCCCAGTAACTCTGTACCCGACCCAGCTAAAGTCTGTCCATTCGTCCACGGCCTAAGTAACGTTAATCCACACAGCCCTACACGGCTCTGTATGTATATAGAAACGTCTACCCGTCTGTCCCGGCTTTAGTAACGTCTGCGCGTCTACTCACCGCCCTAGAAAACACCAACAGAAAAAGTACTTACGGGAAATCGATCTTCTTGAAATCAAAATGCCGAAGAAGATTAGAGTCAAAATAGAATACCATGGCATGAATAACTATTCTCGATTTCCACGTTAACCCGCGCCCCGCTGGGCTATTCAGCCATACGCGCCCTGCCGGGGGGGGGGGGGGGGCAGATTCTGGTACCCCTGTCTAACTTCCGAACCGATGGTCGCACGGGGAAAACGGCAATCGAAAGCTCTCAAGAAGGCGGATCATAAGAGCACAAATTTCAAAGCCGACGGATTTCGCTCAAATTTTCAAGAAACGTCTTAAATTGATGTATGATAAGGTACTGAAAGTTTGACGTCGCTGGCGTAACGCGTTTAGAAGTTATTGACGAAAAACGGGAGGGGGCAGATTCTGCCCCCCCCCCCCAGCGGGGCGCGGGTTAACATGGCTATCCCAACGCATTTATGAGGAAAAGGAGGAAAAGTTGCTAAAAAAATCGAAGAGAAATCATAAAACATATCGGTATGAAAGCCATAATGGCCCTACCTTCATCAAGATTACATCAGTAACATTCATTCTTGCGTGCCCTCGAGGACAAAACGTCACGTGCTCCAATTTTGATTGAGAGAAAACCACTGAACGAGAAAACACGGCCTTGGAAAACACCAACGAGGAGACATAACACATAGCAAGGACACATAGGGCCTTGCATAAAACGGTCAATTAGCTACCGAACAACACAGCTAAGCGTACTTGAGGATACTTTACCTTTTGGCATCCCTTGGAGCCCCCAGATGTAACTTAAACTTGTTGCATTTTGTAAGTGTAACAATCAGTGTTTAAAGTAGTTTGAACCACAACACATTGTGGTTATCTATTTTTTTCTGCGATTCTCTCCGTGGCTGTAGGGCCTTAAACATACACCTCAGTCTCACAACTCTGGATTGTTTTATTGCTCCTCACCGCTAGCACCTAACATCGGCCTTGCATGATACCGTCACGTCGTCGTGAGAATTTCAAGAGCGCGGTGACCGTTTGAATTCGTTTCGCTGCCGAATTAAGACGGCAAGTGTCTTTGAGTATGGATCAGGTGGTCACGGAGCAGCCAGCAGCCCTGGGTGGGCCGGACGACCAGTCGCCATCGGATGCCGACCAGGACCCTGCCGCTGCTGGTGCTGACGCCGCGCAGCAGAGCGTCATCAGCGGGTGTCCGCCCGGCCTGGAGCACTTGGCTGTGGCGCACATAATCAAAATCAAACAGCAGGTGGAGCTCGCAGAAGTCCTGGCCGGGTTGGAGACTGCCAACCACTATATCCTACTGAACGAGCAGAACCAGCAGATATACGCCGCCGCCGAGCAGAGCGACTGCCTGGCGCGCTGCTGCTGCGGCACCAGCCGCGCCTTCGACATGCTGCTGATCGACAACCAGCGCATGGAGGTGGCGCGGTTCGTGCGCCACTACCGGTGCTGCGGCATGGGTTGGTGCAGCTGCTGGTCACGGTGCTGCCTGCAGCGGATGGACGTGACCCGCTCGGGCCAGCTGCTCGGCGTCGTCACGCAGGACCCGCGCCCCTGTTCGACCAGCATCAGCGTGCGCACGGCCGAGGGTAGCACAGCGCTGCGCGTGCGGCGCGGCTGCTGCCGGTGCGCCGTCAGCGTGCCGTGCTGTAGCTGCTGCTGCCCCGGCTGCCGGGACGTGAGCTTCACCATCAGCGCCGAGGAGGACGGCAGACAGGTGGGCGTCGTCACCAAGAAGTGGTCCGGCGCCGCCCGCGAGCTGCTCACCGACGCCGACAGCTTCAGTCTCGAGCTGCAGCGCGACCTGGACGTGCGCGTGAAGCTGGGCGCGCTGGCCGCAGTGTTCCTCATCGACTTTATGTTTTTCGAGCACTAGAATGACATGTCGCAGAAGGGCCGTTCTGGGCCGGGAAGCTGCTGCTGCTGCTGCTGCTGATGTACCGAGTTCTTAAGTATTGGTCCATTTTCTGCAGTAGATTTGCTTAGTTCGGAATATTTGCTCGATTGTTTGCTCATTCACTCGAGCGTTGACATTCGGCAGTGTTGTGCATGTTCGCAATATACCTATACAACATAATATGACAGTGACATATTTTTATGAACTTATTAATTAACCCGCGCCGGGGCGGGGGTGTTTGAACACCCCCCCCCCCGCGTTTTTCGCAGATATCTCAAAAACGCCGTTTTTGGCACACCTGTTCATGCATCTTTTCCACACATGTTGTGAAACTTTCAGACCCAGGGCTCTCAGTCAGGTCACCAGAGATCAGGTCAAGTGACCTCACCTCAGAAAAAGTTTCAATCCTCATCGCTACACCGACCAAACGATCGCCTTGAAACTTTCAGCGATTGATAAGAGTAACAATATGTACAAAATGTATCTCTCGTAATTTTGATATCGGTGACCTAAGGTCATGTCAATTTTGCGACCTCTCCATTATAAGTCAATGGGAGAAAATTGAAATAGGCCTCTTTTGGACGAATGATGTTCAAAACCCTCTCAAACATCGGTTCATACTTCATAGGTAAAAATGACACACTGAATCGAAAAAATGCACCTGTGACCCCGCTGTGTGCCCTTGAGGTCATATCAGGTTTTGGTTTTGGGTGTTGTTTTTGTTGTTTTTACAGAAGATTCCTAATATTTTGATGCCCTCTTTATCCCTCGCCCTGGCAGGGCATTTTTCATAACACGGCCTGGCAGGGGGTACCTAGAAACACCAAATTTGGTAGGTATGTGGGCCCCCTGGATTTCTCGCCCCTGTGCTAATTTGGTTGCTCTAGGTCAATATTTAGGGGGGTTTTGGGGGGTATAAATGTAAAAATTTCGCTAAAAACAGGTGAAAAGTTTTTCGCTTATAACTTTTGATCTAATTAAGATAGAGAAAAAAGGAAAGCACCAGTGAACTCAGCACGTCAAGGCGCGTCGAATGCTATACTTTTTTGCTTGCTTAAGTGTACTTAAAGTTTTTCTTAATTTTTCAGTAACCTTTAATTAATTAATTAAGTTCAAGTTAACTAAATTGCATCATGTTGCATACCATTCGATTCGGTTGATCACCAGGAACACAATGACATCATTTTTTTAAGCTCTAGCGTCATTATGTACAAAGTTATTGGCAAAAACGTCATTTGACCTCAGTTGACCTCATTTGACCTGACCCATGGATAAATACACTAAACAAAGGGGCACCAAGTGACCTGCGGTTAATTTCTATGGTTTCAAAGCACAAAAGGGATAGAACGAAGCGGATATCGCCAGTAGTTTTCGAACTTAGTATTTTCCCATAGGCTTAACATTACGACGTAATGACCTCTAACTGACCTCAGGTCAGTGACATCAAAAACCCGAACTATATGTTATACAACTCGGTGTACTTAGCACATCCTGAAAGTTTGAAGGAAATCAGTCCAAAACTGTGAGTTGGACAGGTGCAAAAAGAAAATTGAAATTTGACCATGACCTTGTACCGGTTTTTCTGACCGGTCACCCGGACTTGAAATTTTCAGGTCATATGTAAAAAGGTTGTCCCATAGGCTGTGCCAAATTTAGCGCAGCGCCGCCGTTTTTACGCTATCTTCGAAAAACCTTAGGGGGGTTGCATCAACCCCCCCCCCCTGCCAGGGCGAGGGTTAAATTTGATGCATCGGAAATGCAGAAATACTCAAAGAGTTCCAGAAAGGTATGGAATTTCAGCAAACTTGGTTGTGTCAGCAATTGGGTCTGGTAGGTGGGGGTAATGGCCCTGCCTGGCGCCTAAAAGGGGGCACAACCCCAAATGACCTGCCCGACCACTGCCCTAGAAGACCCGTGAACGGCGAAACATCTTATCTTTGACCTGACCTGTGACGTCATAAGTGACCCTGAGGTCAATGAAATTGGGGCTCCCGCGACAAATTTGGCAGGGCTATCGAACGCCGTTTAGGTTTTACGGATCCGCCCAGTAATTTCGGAGATACGAGGGAGGAAGGGGGGGGGGGTAAAAAATGAACAAAATGCCCAAAATCCATAATAATTGAATTGGACTTAACCCGCGCCCCACTGGGGTCTGCGTATAACAGCCCTACTGGGGGGGGGGGGGCTCTTCATAGCCCCCCCCCCTCCTAACTCCGAAACTACTGGGCCGATCGTCAAAATTCAAAGGGCGTCTTATCCCGCGACCTGGTGGGGGGGGGGGGCTATTTTTTGCCCCCCCTCCAGACTTTTCGATATATCTCCAGAACCGCTGCGCCGATCGTCACCAAACTTTCAGTACCTTCCCGGACATCAATTTTACATATGGTGACCAAAACTTTTTCCAAAGGCTATGATAGGTTGGCCGGAAATGACGTCAGAGTGACGTCATGTTCTGCCGTTTTCGACCCAAAAAAGGGTTTCGCGGGAAGAGCTGTCAGGCCTATAGCTTTGCAAATGCAGAAAAATGATAAGAATATAAAAGCTGTAGAATTGACAGGGCTACAAAACTGCTGTCTCAGATTTTTGAAATTTTTGGAATTTGACCCCCAAAATTCAAAAAATATTTTTTTTGGATATAATGATCGAAAAATCCAAAAAGTTTTTTGATTTTCGCAAAAAACGGAATATATGTGATAGTCCTTACCACCTTCCATCCACATACCAAATTTGAGATTGATACCTCTTTTTTTGGCGAAGTTATAGCGAAAAAACTGTTCAAAATTGATTACGTCAAATTTTCAAACTCAATTTTTAGCAATTCTAGACCCCGTAGCGCAAAACAAAGACCACCATTAGACTCCCCGTGACGAGCTGCATCGAATCAATACCCATTTTATGCAAAACTATCAACTTTAAAATTTGACGTTTTTTGGCCTGACCTTGACCTGACCTTGACCTGAACTTCACCAGAAAGTGACCTAAGCCGTACCTGATAGTCTTACAACCAACACCATTGAGCTGGAAATGAAAAATTGGCCATAAAACATGCATCACACAACCTTAGTAAAGTTGGGCTCATGTGACCTGACCTGTGACCCTTGGTGACCTGACCTGTGACGTGACCTGGTATTGTCAGTGACCTCTAATAGCAACATATCTACTAGGCAACTGACGCTCTATCGCTGATTCTCGACAAAATGCGTTTTCCTCGGTGTTATAGCGCATTCCCTAGAAGACCCGTGAACGGTGAAACATTTCATCTTTGACCTGACCTGTGACGTCATCGGTGACCCCGAGGTCAATGAAATTTGGTTTCCTTCGACAAATTTGACAGGCCTTTCGAAAGCCGTTTGAATTTTGCGGATCCGTCCAGTAGTTTCGGAGATACGAGGGGGGGGGGGGGGCAAAAAATAGCCCCCCCACCACCAGGTCGCGTTATAAACAGACCCCACCAGGGCGCGGGTTATAGCCCCGGAAAAACTGTCAGCGAAACAAATTTCATTGACCTCGAGGTCACCGATGACGTCACAGGACAGGTCAAAGTAAAAATTATTAGCATTTTGGCTTGTTCACGTTTTGGGCTCCGGCCGCCGTCTTACAAGTCAGATCAGGCTCATTTTTGGTTCACACACTCGTGAACAGATGCTCTAGATACCCTGAGGTTACCAAACTTGTACTTTGATTTTCAGGTCAAGGTCAGGTCATCACAGGTCACGAAAGTATTATATCATGCGTCGGTCACGTGACACATGTTTTATGGTCCATTTAGGCCAAAGATTTCGAAATTGATGTCGTCTGTGTCATTCGAGGTCATTTTAAGTCGAATTTAGCTTAGGTCAGGTCACTTTCAGGTCAAAAAAGGTCAAATTTTGGTTAAAATTTTTCAACAAAAAAGGTGTCTATTGGATGCAGTTTGAGCTCAGGAACACGATGGTGCTATTTATATGGGCGTACGAAGTCAAATACGCACTGAAACAAATTGATTTGAAAAATTAATAATTGTGAATTTTTTGAAATAATGCGTACCTATAACTTGGCCATTTTTGAAGATATTTAGCTAAAACTTGCTAGAGTTAGTCATCATAATGCGTTCTATCACATATATTCCGTTTTTTCGAAAAGTCAAAAACTTTTTCAAAGAAATGTAAAAATATAAATTTTGATTTTCTTATATTAAATTTTCAAAATTTCGAAAATCCGAGATAGCAGTTTGATAGCGCAGTCTATTCTGAGTCCTCTCATGCAAAGAAATTGGATCTAGCTTAAAAACTGAGCTCTTGGGAGCGATTGCCGTGGTTCAATGTTTTGCGTCGAAATCGGCCGAACATGACGTCACTCTGACGTCATTTTCGGCCGACCTATGGTAGCTACGACGTTCATATTTTGACACAAGGTGTCAAATTGATGCAGAAGAAGGTACTGAAAGTTTAGCGTCGATACATCAAGCAGTTTGGAAGTTATTGCAGAAAAACGGGAGGGGGGCTATGAATAGCCGCCCCCCCCCCAGTGGGGCGCGGGTTAATTTGACATTTGATGACCTCTGGTTACCTGACCTTTGACCTGACCTGAAAAAATGACCGAAGTGTTTTCTTCTTCTTCTTTTTTTTTGACGCTCTTTCGATTGTCGCTTACTGCGTGTCACTACGTGGACCAGGAGCCGAGTTAGACGGGGGGGGGGGGGCGTAAAAACGCCCCCCCCCCCCCAGCACTCGGTGGAAAGTTCAGGCCACCAGCACGCGCGCGGGCTAACCTGCGCACAGTGACGTCTCGCGTCACAGAGGAAAACAAAGTTTATGGCAGAAACCATAGCTGAACGTTTGAAAGGTTTGAATCTTGAAAATCGGCCCGAAAAGTTTCGGGCATAGCGCGGCGACGACGCGCCTCCCTAAGGCCCGTCTCCCTCACCCATCACGCAAGCAGAGTTCGGCGGTAGTTAGTCCAACGCGGAGCCAGTCAATTGCCTTCTAAAAAGCCTGACA